AGGGAAGCAACCTTGCAGCTGCCAAAAGCAAGTTGTGGGTGGTGTGAGGACTGCAATTAAACGTTTGTTATGGCTCAGGTGTTGCTTTCTGACTCTTTCAGTGGAAGTGAAGAAGCTCTCTCGAATGAAGACTGTGAGAATGTTTATCACTTGGTCTATTCAGCACACCGGCCTGTTGCAGTAGCAGCGGGGGAATTCCTTCACAAAAAGTAAGTTATCCATTACTCGAGGAATAAGGACAATTTGTGACAGCATTCTAGTAGCGGTAAGATCTAGAGGCAAAGACCATAATATCACAGTTTAGTGACACTTCAGGTACATAATTTGAAACACAGACTTCCTCACTTGTTTAAATTCAAGACCTAATTACCTAAAGACATCGTATGCACATTTTTCTTGCTCTAGGAGTCAGATGATTTTTACTGATTTCTCAGGGACTAAATATAAAAGGTTGCATATACTATTCTGTATTAAAGTTGCTTTAAATCCTTTAGCTTTATTGAATTACAAAAACCTATACAGCCCTGGCTTGTCTTCCTGATATGCAGTCTATGCAGTCATCACTTTTAAGAACTTCTAAGTCAGTTTACTTCCAAATTATCAACTTCAAGAGGCTTTTAGATTTTAATAATTAATTTTTTTTTCTAAACTCATTTCTTCCTTTAAAAATATGTTGCAGCGTGGCTACATATTTCATGAAATCACTGTCCCAGAGGAAACAGGCAGGCTTTTGTACTGGCTTGAATTGTACTGCATCAGTAACTGTCAGCAGGGCACTGCCACATCACAGTAGTTAATCTCCTTATTTTAGTGTTAGCTAGATAAGAAGTTAGTTGAAAGTCTTTAATAATTTTCTTTTCCCCTTTTGAGTTGTGGGATTAAGTTGAGGGATTAGAATTTTTTAATACACTTAAAGTGTGTTAATATCAGCACACAGGTTATATTAAAAATCACTTTAAAATATCACATCCCTTTGTCAGTGCTGTTAATATTTTCCTTGCTTCATTAGTGATTTAGAAGTCCACACTCACTGCAAGGTTTTTGTAGTGGATTTCCATCTCTGTGAACAGCCATGTCTGTTCTTTCGAATTCATTTACAAAATTCAGTTACCTTTGGTTTCCTACATGACATTATACAAGTTGTAGGAAGTGGTTAGATCTTTGTTAAAGAACGTACACTGAAATATTCCTGTCATTTAACATGTGACAAGATAGTCTTGAAGAAATTGCTAAAAAGTAAACAAATTTGTCCAAAGACAAATATTGCTGTATTCTGTAAATATATCTCTTGAAGTAAGCAGTATTGAAAAAAAATACCCATCCCAACAATCATTTTCTCTTGGCTCGTGCTAACACATAAGAGGCGATATTCTAGTTTAAGTAGGTTAGCATCTGCCTGGGGCACTTGGGGTAAGATTGACCTCATCTAATACTGGACATTTAAATGCCAGTTTTTAAATTGGTCACTAGGCTCTCTTTGCAGTTGGTGAAGGAGAGTAAATACTATGATCAGGGGCAGATATTGAGGATATTTTAGTGTCTGCAGAGGAACTTATTTCTATTTGTTACTTGATAGCTCAATAGATAAGCAGGATAAATGATGCCTAAAAAATAGCATAAAGTACAAAGTTTCTGCATAACATAAATATCCATGATCATGTTAGGCTAGCAGAGGTGAATGCTGAGAGCAGTATGGAATTAGCCAGGTATCAGGGAACTTGTTGCAGAATGGATAATTCCCCTGTAAACAAACAAACAAACAAAAACCGTTTCACTGGTAGCTTGCTTTAGCTTTCTTGCTTCTGCTGATCCCTGAGCTTGGTTGGGAGAATGGGATATCATGTATGTGTATCCCACATCCCAGTCAGCATGACCACAGCCAAGGTACAGCCTTAGTTTTTATGCCATTAGTGGAAAAAGTGCTTCCACCATCGTAAAACTTGGAAAAATAAAAATACAAAACTATATAAATGATGCAAATGTACAAAATTTCCAAACTTCTCAAAAATAAATGTCTTAAAGATTTATTTTTCCTTGGGTGAAATGTCTCCATCAATATGAACTTCAAGATTTTGAATATAAGTTCATCTATTCTGACAGGAAGAGGTCATAGCTTTTTTCCCTTAAAAGAAAGAACTTGATATATTTTCACTGTATTTTATTAACAAATCTACTGTAACAAGAATGAATGATCATCATATTATTAAGAAATGAAATTTGTTTCAATAAACGTGATTGATAGCTCCTTTTGCTTATTTTCAGACTGTTCAGCAGACACGATCCCCAAGCTGAAGAGGCTCTAGCAAAGAGGAGAGGGAGAAATAGTCCAAATGGAAACCTTATTAGAATGTTGGTTCTTTTCTTTCTTGAAAGTGAGGTAAAAATAACTCATTTTTAATCTTTACACGTTTACTAAAACCTGGAAATTAAGTAGTGACTTACCAACATCTGTAAGAGGTTGTCTTTTTCCTTGCTTTTTAAAAATACTTTCAAAAATACTGTTTACTCTTTATCCCATCTCCTTGTCCATCAAATGAATTCAGGATAGGATCTTTTGTGTGGTTGATTTTGCTTTTACTTGCTCTTATTTGTCCCCAGTGCATTATACATTGCATTGCTAATAGTATAGTGACTATAATATAATAATAATAATATATTATTGTTAACAATAATATAATGTATTTATAATATAATATATTATGTTATGTTAATGTTATGATATTAATAATCTTAATAGTATATTTATATACATATATGAAATATATAAAAGTGTTACCGGTGCTTTTTTTGATTGCTTTTTAAAATAAGCAACTAAAGAGTGTGCCTTTGGAGTCATTCTTTATGAAGTGAATCTATTTGAACAGAGTCATCTCTGAGGTTGGACCTGGTCACTTGGGGATTTTTTCAGTTGGGTCTCAAAACCTTCCAAGGATGGAGGCTGCAGGCACCCACATGATGGCATTAAGTGTTTGGCAGCCACCTTCAGGACAGGAGTTTGTGGGACAAATTAACAGAAGTTAACGGGTGGGAAAGGAATCACGTGTGGATGTACATACAAATAGATATTCATTTCACTGTAATGTGTATAAAAGACCTGGATCGTAGGAGGAACTTGGATATGAGAAGGGTTAGTTGAGGAAGGTGATCGTTTATAGAGATAACGCCTCTAAGAAGTGTTTCTGGTAGAAGCACTAGCAGTCATTAAGGCTAAGAATGACAGTTGAAGGGAGGAAATCTTGCAAGGAGAGAGACATACAGGATTCACTGCGGATAGTGGGGGGAAGGCTTAGAACCGACGCGGGAGATACCATCTTCCTTGCGCTCCTGGACGCGTTCCTGCATGGGAGTCAGTGCCGTGCCTGGCGAGTGAGTGAGCTCTGTGGTCTGTCCTTGGATTTTGGTGGTGGCTAAAGATCAGTTTCTAAATCAATAGAAACCTACTTTTCTCACTTTCTAACAGTTGGGTTAATTCATATAAAGAACATATTTTTGCAGTGAAAGATAAGTTAATATCAGTTCTTTACCCACTGAAATCACTAGGTTTTCTGCTACCATTTTGAGAGACCAGAATTAGAAGAATATTTTTGGAGCTCCATCTATTGTTTAGACTGATCACAAAGCTAAACTTAGTGGTAATTTGGGATCTTTTCATGATTATTTCAAAACATAAATGCACATAAGCCTAACAAAAACTTTATAGTATTTTATTTTTTAATTATGATACTCCTAAAAAGTGTAAAATATTCTGGCTCAATTTATCAATTGGTATTTGTTTGAATCACATAGCTATATTCTGCTCTTTTCCTTTTTCAGAAATATATGTTTAGACTAACAAAAATATGAAAACTATTCTTGCTGTCTGTCAAAAATGAATGTTGTATGAAAAGGAGCAAGTATTTCCATATCTATATTGTGCACCTTTGTTAAAATCTGTCTGGATGAAAAACAGATATATTGTCAGAGAGAATGCATTATAGCACCTCCTTATTCTCATGTCCCACGATCATTTCTTCTCATAACTCAGTAAGAAAGTGAGAAAAAAGTAAGCTTAGGTATTCAAGGTCAAAACTTTGAGGAGATTTTTCACCAAAGAATACTCCATGGAAAATAAACTGAAATTATTTTTTGTGTATTTTCCATTAAAACATATCCACACTGTCATGCAGTTGCATCATTCCCTTCAAAGAAGTCTTTCCAAAGTTAGTTACAAATTTCATTTTCTGTGTGACTGTTGCCTGGGGACTCTGTCCATGCCCAAATGGTTGTGAGCACTGAAGAAGCAGAGCTCGTACCAGAACATTTCACTGATAGTTGCTTTGTGGTTTCTAGTTGCATGAACATGCAGCTTACTTGGTGGACAGTTTGTGGGAGAGCTCTCAAGAACTTTTGAAAGACTGGGAATGTATGACAGAATTGCTCTTGGAGGAACCAGTCCAAGGAGAAGAAGGTATGTGTTTAATCTTGGGAATAGAGTTTTTAATAACTCATTTTATTGGTGATATTTGATTTGGTGATATTTGATATTGGATTTAATTGGTGGTGATAGTAAAATATGAGGCTTCTCCAGGCAGTCTTAAAACCAAAAACAAATTCTCAAGAGGAGCAAATGAAGGAAAAATCTTTTATAATGAGTCTTGAATCCTACTTGGTTGATAGATCTGCGTGCATGAGGTTGGTGGTAGAAGGTTCCTACTGGCAGTGATGAGTTTTGTCTAGCTCCTTTATAAACCTTGAGGACTTTCCAGCTTCAGGGACCTTCCCAGCAGCTGGGTGGTTAAGAGCTGATATACTCTTACTGTGCCCTGTGCATCATTTTGTAGATCTTCGTTATATCCCCCTCCAGTCAACATTTTTCCTAGCTGAGAGCTTTCAGGCTGCTTAGGTGTTTCCCTTCTACGCCTCACTCCGCACACCTCATCAGCTCTGCTGCCCTTTGCTGATTTTTGTCAGTTCTACCACATCCAGTTGGAGATGATGTGAGCAGTAACTCCAAGAGCGAGCCAGCAAGCTGTGTTTTTCCATACCAGACAAAATGTCTTCTGCTTTGCTCTCTATTCCCACCGTTTTAAAGCTCCATTCACAGATGGGGCCTGTATATCATCCCAACTGATGTTCCTTGCTCTTTTCCTTGCACAGCGATGTCCGACCGGCAGGAGAGCGCTCTGATTGAGCTGATGGTGTGTACGATCCGGCAGGCTGCAGAAGCGCATCCTCCCGTAGGCAGGGGCACTGGGAAAAGAGTAAGTCACGGCGCAATAGGAGCTTCAGACCTGCGTCTGTTACCAGAGCTGTAAAAAATATTTGTCTGCAGTGCCACTTTGTGACACTTCTATGTAGGATTTTTATAATTGATGCTATCTGTTTGATAATTGATGCTATCTGTTTGATTAAAATTTTGTGAAGAAAAGTCGTAGAAACTATATTTCTAGACATATTTGAATGTTTGGTTTCAATTTGGTTTTTGCATCGCTGTGTTGATTAGTATGAATTTAGAGCCTGAAAACCTTTTTTTGCAACTTTCAGATTTTCTTTTATCAATACCCCGGCTTAGACTTGGAGCACCTACCAGCATCTACAGCCCACACTGTTCCTGTAGATTGGAATTGAGGAGCAGAGCTCACACCACTGGGCGCCATAAAAATCTCAGAATTTGACATGCTGGCCAAATTTGCAGTCTCGGTGTTAAATCGTTTATTTATTAAATAGTCACTGTTCAGAGACCTACATCAATTTTCAGTTTCTTTCCTAAGGATAGGCACTGCCTTTTTAGCACTGCCTTATAAGTAAGTCATTTGGAGCCATGAGGTTGGGGTGATCATCAGGCTTTCGTTTATGTTCTCCATAAATACAGCATCCAAGTTGCAAAATTCTTGGCTTCGCAGGCAGATTTCCCTGCTTTTTGGTAGTCCACCTCTTTTCTGTAGCTTAGATTAAAATTAAATAAAGCCATATGAACATTTCATATTTTTATTAGATTAAATTCTGAATGATCCTAACTGGATTATTACAGAATGCCACAGGCTCATTTAAAATGAAATCTAGAGATAGACTTATCATTTTTTTATTGCTAAACCAGAGCAGTTACTTAACTGCTTAATTTTTATGTGCCAAAAGCATATTAGCCTTATGTCCCGCAACAGCACCCTGGGAAAAGCTCCAAGAAGCCATCACTTTAAATATGATTATTACACTTTACCTTATGAATGCATATTCTAAGAAATTCTAAGAAATTCCTAATTCACTAAAACATGGAGGAGGAGAAGGATCTAGAGAAGTACTTAGCCAATTTACCTGAGCATTTATTTTCCTGGGTTACCAGCTCTGCTTTCTCAGTACAACTTAACCGTGTGTCATGTCTCTGCCTCCAAACATTCTGGCAGACAAAGCCAATGTTCAACAAATATTTTTTATTTGTATTTTCTGCTTGGAGCACCAGAGACTGTCACTACTCACTTTCTGGGTAATTTTTCTATCTAAAGAGATCCACAGTTCCGATCACTTAGGCTTAGAATTTCTTAAGTCATAGGATGCCTACGGATGTATTTCTTCAAAGCTGAAGAAAACATGTCAGTGAAATAAAATGCACCTTCTGAAGGGTGATGGAAGAGCATCGAGATCATCCTAGGGACCCGGCTTGCTTAATAGTGTTACTGTCTCTAGGTGTCTTTGCTTTGGCAACATTTGAGGCTTCGATATATCTGTCATTAAAATTTGTAAATGAGTTCTGTGCACTTGAACGTGTGTCCTCGTTGAGGGTTATGTTCCAATTTAGAGATAACGGTCCTGAAACTGCTAATGAAAATCACTGTTGCAGGGTGGGTTGGTTTTGGTTTTCTTAATTATGCTTCATTTCACACTGATGTCTTACATAAACACTACATCTAAGGTGTGAAAATCAGAGCCAATTCACTTGAAAGTAATAGCAAACCTTCCACTCACTTGGCTTTTAGTTGAATTTCAGTCCTAAAAGCACATTGATGTGTAGAGACGATACCATGTTGGATGAAATGACATTTTTCTTTCCAGGCTTCTTAGGTCCTCCCATGTAACCACTCTTCAAATGTTTTAGGATTTTTTGCTCTTGTTTTGATTTTTCTTTTTAAACACACTTGCATGGGTTTTTGTTTGTAATAGAAACTTTAGAAAGATTAATGACTGCTATATTCAGAAACTTTATTCACTGTAGTAATTTTTAATTGCTTGCAGGTCTTAACAGCAAAAGAAAGAAAGACTCAGATAGATGACAGAAATAAATTGACTGAACATTTCATTATTGCACTTCCTATGTTGCTATCAAAGGTACATTTTTCTATTGCATAAGTTGTTTACTGCTATTTACAGTTGTCTTTCACCTTTTTCCTGCTGTAGTATAGATTTTTAGTTTTACTTTGCGTTTTGTTTTGTTTTGTTTCAATGATGTCTAGTATTCCGCTGATGCAGAGAAGGTTGCAAATCTCCTGCAGATACCTCAGTATTTTGATTTGGAGATCTACAGCACGGGCAGAATGGAAAAGGTACAGTATCTTGGGCAAAAACTCTCCCCGTTGCAAGAGCCTGGTTACCAGTGCGGTCACACAGCGTTGTGTCTGAATTCTGAAGACACGTAATCTTACCCTGATTTGGTGTCTTCTTTGCCTGAAAGTTGTTTTGAGTTTGGGTGTTGAGGGGATGTGAAAGCTGAGCTTCTCTTCTGCTCTGCAGCATCTGGATGCGTTGCTGAAACAGATCAAGTTTGTCGTGGAGAAGCATGTGGAATCGGATGTTCTTGAAGCCTGCAGCAAAACCTACAGCATACTCTGTAGTGAGGAATATACCATCCAGAATAGAGTTGACATAGCCCACAGCCAACTTATCGATGAATTTGTGGACCGGTTCAACCATTCTGTAGAGGATCTGCTGCAGGAGGTTTGTTTTCTTAAAATGAATTTAGTTTACATAAAATATACCATGGTGTAAACTGCAGAAAAACATCCTTACTCCATCATGAAATTATCCATGTGAAGACTTACAGCAACAATAACTATTTCAGAATTATTTGGTGCTATTTCTCTGCAGAACATCCCCTAAACTTGCCATTAAGCCTGCAAAGCATTGATGCTGTAAAACAAGGACCACAGCACCATCCTACTTCTGCAAATTGAGTGTAGTGTTTGTCACTTCACCTAGGAAATGAAATGGAGGAATGGGTGAAAGCTGATGAAAAATGCAGGGAAAGGTGCATTTACATTAATGCTAACGGTGATTCTAGTAGTCCAGAAGGGATACATGCAGGCAGCAGAATCAAGACGGGGTTTTGTCTTGAGTCGAAGAGCTGATTTAGTAACACTTACAAGGGTTTACTGAGAGTTCTGGAAAGAAGGAAATAACAATAAAGGTCTGAAACCTGCAGATACGTAGGATTTGCTTACAAGAATTTATCCTTCAAAATACCTAAGAGACAGAATAAGGATAGAAATTGCACTTTTTTTTCCTCCATATAAACTTCATTTAGTACTTCTTAATTTGTTGAATTCTCTTGCTTTTTAAGCATAACTTAGAGGCCACATAGGTCTTTTTCTTCACTTTGTGCAGCTTAATGCACTTGTGCATACACTTAAATTTTGATGCATGTTTACAGAAAGTTCAGCAGTCTATAGTTTATAACTGAGTATCAAAGAAAAGAAACAGGAGAAGCCTTGAAGGACGCACTGGGATGACTGGGCAAAGATGGATCTTCTGAAGGAGCAGGGACCAGTGGTGGCTGCAGCACCTTCCTTCACCCAGCTCTGAGGAAGGGTAGAGAAATGTGAGCAAGGGCTTAAGATCTTCATGTGTATTGGAGGCTTGGAGACCTGCATGAGAGATGGATGAGGGTTTGGGAGAAAAGCTGGGCCTGGGAGTCATATGAGAAAGGAAAAATTAAGAGCTATAGATCCATAAGGAAGAGGGAGGGCAGGGGTCAGACATGTGGCAAGGAGAAGGACGGGGAGATGGAAATGAGACAAAAATGTGATATAGCAAGGAATTTAAATTCTGGCATTCGCCGTTTTCTTTACTGGATGATACTTTGCGGATTAATTAATTTTAGTAAATGTAATCATTATGAAGAGTTTTTCAACTCTGCAACACACCCATCTATACCCAAGCAAGTGTCACACTGTTTTACAGCTTCCTTCTAGGTTACTAATGAGAGAAACACTGATTGACAGTCGCATCTGAAGACAGGAAATTCTTTTAATATCTGGACTTTTAGCTAGCAAGCAATTGATTGATCAAAATAAAATGAAATGGAGAAGAATTGCTTTAGGTGTATTTTCCACTTCAGAAGATTCCAGAAAAAAATGAAGTTTTGAAAATGTCTTCTTTCCAGTGGTTCACCAGGAGAATTTGATGTTCAGTTTGCATAAAATTTTAGGATAATGACATTTTAAAAAATCAAAAAACAATTGAAATTAAAAGATATAATCATGTGGGATATTTACTCAGGTTTCTAATTCCCCCAGATTTATGAAATATAAAAAAAACCAGCCCCCTCCTGCTGCTGCTGGCAGATGTAGGTTTGAGTATTAAGACTGTG